CTCCGTATCTGTTCATACAGCAACCAAAAACACTCTAAACGGAGTTTGCAATCAATCAAACACATTCATCTCAACAAAAATTCACCAACCATTATACCAAACCAGCAGATCATCAACAAATTAAATTAATCAATTAATCAGTTTCTTAAAACATGTTTTTTTAAGATAGATTTTCAGCAGATTCAATATGGCAACATATCATCAATCAAATGCATGTTATCAACCATCCATTTAAAAATTGTAAAATTCAGTACCCTAGGCTCTGATACCACTGTTAGTAAACGGTCCCGTATACACAGCGGAAACAAAACAAAATTAATGTAGAGATCATTTACATGAGCCAAGATCAAGGGTATAATTTTACAATTTTATCAAAGCAAGAATCTGCATAAATTAATAATCTGTGTTTAGAAACCATAAGCATGTTTGGAGGCTCCACCACGATTGTCTTTGAACGTTTTGCTACCGATCCAAGTGTAGGATCGAACCCACGTAGTCCACATGAAGACAATCTCAAAAGAACCAAAGAGGGATTTGCTAGATCCTCTTTGGCTTCAAGATTCAGAAGAAGAGAAATCAATTGAAATTGATTTTGGCTAAACCAATTTTCTGCCGTGGGAGTGTATTCCAAAAGGGGGCTGCTGTGTGTTTTATTTTTCAAAGGAAAAATCCTCTCCTTAAAAATCACACACTTTTCCTTTTTATATTTAAAACAATTTGCCCTTATCCCATACGGAATAGGCTCGGGCTCCAATCCAAACGCCCCATGTTGCCAAACACTCCCAATTTGATTTATTTTATTTTCCATCATTATCTCAATTAAAATCAATTAATATATATTTAAATATATATTAACATTTAACAATAATGATAACATATTTAAATATGTGTGAACACACATTTAAACGTAATTTCACTTATTTAATTTTTCTAACAAATTAAATAAAGGCTACGACCTCAGCAAATTTAATTGCACTGTGAAATTACCAAAATACCCTTTCGCCTTAAAAGACGAAAACGCCCTTCTTTCTTCTTGGATCTTAAATTGTCTTCTATGTGTGTGACCCATAGGCTCCTCATCATATCGGCAGTGTATAGTATCGCGATTAACACCAATTAATCGTCTCACTAATACACAGACCAAGATTGGCCCCTAGCAAGGCATCATGGCCACCCGATAGATTCGGATTCAGCAAAGTAGCTACCTGTCAACGATATGGTTACCGTGCAATTCGATCCTTTCATCATACGTTATCTCGACGAGACGAAGGCATAGAAATAGTGTCAACCTTCGGTTACTCTCGATATTATTTATTCAGTTTCTGGACCAATGACCCGTATTATAAACTGGATAGAGCAACAACTCAATCCCACTGTGGCCACAGTTTTAGTGTCATTGCCATATACTGAATTGCGCCGTGAGATAACTTNCAAGCACCCATGTGTTGTACCAGGTTGTCACCAAACAACCTTGACAAGTGAGATCAGTCACTGCCTTTCGACAGGGTCGTTCAACACTATGATAGCCATGCCGTATTATCTGTGCCCTTACTTCAGAATAATACTAGGGCTACAGACATTTCTAGAATGGCCACCATATGTGCTCATAGGGTTCTCACTATCAAGATTTGAAACACTTGATACCCTCATCACGGTTCTACCATTCTAAGGACATATATCAATATATATTGCAATAATAATGATTTACGCGATATAGAATAAAATGTCGTTTATTGATTAATGAACATTATTACAAAGAGTCAATTCTACAATAATTGATTGGCTCTAGGATACCTACTCTAACATGAGGTACATAAATAGTGTCTACCTCAAAAGCTACCTTGACATGTTCTATATTTGGTTCTTGAATCTGATGACTATTGGATTCGAGCACCAACTCGATTTCACTATGGCCACAGATTTGAGGTCGTAGTTCTTTTACCAAATATCTCGTTGAGATAGGATCACTTGTAACCAGAAGTGATGGATCCCTTGTTGATCCACCGTAGCCATAGTGTACTTCTCGATGTAACCAATCATTACCGTTTTGGTAATCGCTAAAAGAGATGATGTTAGGCTAGTGTCAAATCACATTGATATTTACACATGGCTCTCTAGTGATCTCAAGTTGAAGGACCACATGCATCACCATCCGTAAGAGGATATATTCCATAGGCACTGGGTTTACCATCTCATGTAGAATCTTATGATGGGTTAGTCTAGTGTACTTGCACAAGCAAGCAGCCATGCGTTGCACTAGGTTGATGCCTACAATCTTGACATGTGAGATATCTCATAACCTTTCGATATGGTCATTCAATGCAATGATAGTCTCTCCATATAATCCGTGTCCTTGGTTAGATTTATACTACGACTATGGACAGTTTAAGAAGGCTCACATTGTGCTCATAGGGTTCTCACAACTAAGATTTATAACACTTAATTCCCTCGTTATTGGTTGCGACCTTTCTAAGGACATATACTATTTTTTTTACGCGTAGTAAATAGATGCTACAGTATATGCTCATAAATAAGCTATGCCTTTTATTCATTAATTTGAAATGAGTTTACAAGAGTTAAATCATTGGCTCCAATGCACCTACTGTTAGAGTAGATGCCCTAGAGCCAATCAATTATTGTAGAATTTACTCTTTGTAATAATGTTCATTAATCAATAAAAGGCATTTTATTCCATATCGTGTAAATCATTATTATTGCAATATGTATTGATATATGTCCTTAGAATGGTAGAACCGTGACGAAGGTATCAAGTGTTTCAAATCTTGATAGTGAGAACCCTATGAGCACATATGGTGGCCATTCCAGAAACGTCCGTAGCCCCAGTATTATTCTAAATTAAGGGCATAGATAATACGGTAACTATCATAGTATTGAACGACCCTGTCGAAAGGCAATGACTGATCTCACTTGTCAAGGTTGTTTGGTGACAACCTGGTGTAACATATGGGTGCTTGCTGTAGGCGATTACACCGCAGTAAGTTTACTGGACTGACCCACCAGACGATTCCATATGGATGGTAACCCCAGTGTCTATGGAACAAATCCTATAACGAATGGTGGTGCATGTGATCCTTAGACTTGAGATCACCGGAGCGCCTTGTGCACTGATTGGTGTAGTTTGACACTAGCCTAATGCAATTCTTTTCATAGCTATCAATACGGTGGTGATTGGCTGCATCAAGGAGTGTATCAAGACTATGGTGGATTGACAGAGGATTCATCACTCTCGGGTACAGGAGAAGTTATCTCATGGCGCAATTCAGTATATGACAATGACATTAAAACTATGGCCACAGTGGGATTGAGTTGTTGCTCTATCCAGTTTATAATACGGGTCATTGGTCTAGAAACTAAATACATAATATCGAGAGTAACCGAAGGTTGACACTATTTCTATGCCTTTGTCTCGGAGAGATAATGGATGATGAAAGGATCGAATTGTACGGTAACCATATCGTTGATAGGTAGCTGCTTTGCTGAATCTGAATCTATTGGGTGGCAATGATGCCTTGCTAGGGGTCAATCTTGGTTTATGTACAGTGAGACGATTAATTGGTGTTAATCGCAATACTATACACTACTGGTATGATGAGGAGCCTATGGGTCACACACATAGAAGATAATTTAAGATCCAAGAAGAAGGAAGGGCGTTTTTGTCTTTTTAAGGCGAAAAGGTATTTTGGTAATTTCACAGTGCAATTAAATTTGCTGAAGGTCGTAGCCTTTATTTAATTTGAAAAATTAAATAAGTGAAATTACGTTTAAATATGTGTTCTCACATATTTAAATATATTATCATTATTGTTAAATGTTAATATACATTAAATATATATTAATTGATTTTAATTGAGATAATGATGGAAAATAAAAATATCAAATTGGGACTGTTTGGCAACATGGGGTGTTTGGGTTAGAGCCCAAGCCTATTCCATATGGGAATAGGGCAACTTGATTATTTTACTATAAAAAGAAAAGTTTGTGATTAATCAATTAATTGATTTCTCTTTTAAAGTGAAACACACACAGCAGCCCCTCTCAATACACTCCCACGACAAAAACACTTTAGGCTCAAAAATCAATTCAATTGATTTGCTTTCTTCTTAATCTTGAAGCCAAAGAGGACGTAGCAAATCCCTCTTTGGTTCTTTTAAGATTGTCTTCGTGTGGACTACGTGGGTTCGATCCTACACTTGGATCGGTAGCAAAACATTCGTTGACAAATTTGGAGGAGCCTCCAACGTGAGTTTGTTTTCTTTAAAATCAGATTTATTTTTCTGCAGATTTTATTTTAATATGAATTGTAAAATTATACCCTTGATCTTGGCTCATGTAAACGATCTCTATATTATATTTACTTTGTTTCCGCTGCGTATATGGGACCGTTTACTAACACCTACTCTAACAATCTCCCACTTGCATTATAGCCTATCATTCATAGGTTTGATCCCATATGATGCTATGTGCCTATCATGCTTCTGCTATGACAAAGCTTTTGTAAGTCGGTCTGTGATGTTATCGTCAGTAGGTACTCAATCAATTTGTCGCCTCTCAATTCAATAGTTAGGTCAGTAAGGTTAATTAATTTGGTGCATTCGGCACGCTACCAAATTTTGGCGCCATTGCCGGGGAGTGGTATTTGTCGATTTTTTTTATATATTCTATGTTTTTTTTTTTTTTTTGTGATTTTCTTTAATCAGTGCTTAGTTGTTTTTTTAATTTTATTTTATTTTATTTTGTTTAATTGTGATTTTTAGGTTTTTGAAAAAAAAAATAGTACTATTTAGTATTGTTCCTAAGAGAAATTTTGGTTGAACTAGGAGTGCTGCAAGTATCCATTTCAAAGAAAACGACATTCTGAGCAAGACTAGAAGGAGAGTTGGAATTTGATCCAAAAATCGAACGCAGTTTACGGAAGTTGCAAAAAGAGTCACGTCAAGCAAGTTCTTCATCTCCTGATCTAAATATAGCCCTTGGTTCAGCATCTCACAGCTCATCCAGTGATCCAGATTCAGAGATAGAAGAAGAGATGGCCGCTGGCAGAACATTAAAGGAGTTGGCTGCCCCTGATTTTAATCATCAGCCTTTGTGTATTCAATACCCTACTTTAGATGTTGCTTTTGAACTTAAGTCTGGTCTAATTCACTTGTTGCCTACATTCCATGGTCGTGCAGGTGAAGATCCAAATAAACATCTAATGGAGTTTCACGTTGTCTGTTCAAGCATGAAATCGACTGGAGTGACAGAGGAGCAGATTAAGTTGCGAGCTTTTCCTTTTTCGTTGGGGGATGATGTAAAGGATTGGCTCTATTATTTACTATCGGGGACAGTCACAACATGGAACGAGATGAAAAGGATGTTTTTAGAAAGATATTTCCCAGCATCTAGAGCTGCCACTATCAGGAAAGAGATATGTGGGATAAGGCAATATAATGGAGAGACGTTGTATGAATATTTGGAGCGATTCAAGAAGCTATGTGCAAGCTGTCCTCACCACCAGATAAGTGATCAATTGCTAATTCAGTATCTCTATGAAGGATTGCTGCCTATGGAAAGAAATATGATAGATGCAGCAAGTGGAGGTGCTTTGGTAGATAAGACTACTGAAGCTGCCAAACAGTTAATCTCAAACATGGCTGCCAATTTCCAACAGTTTGGTACAAGACATGATGCGCCAACCAAAAAGGTGAATGAGGTAAGTACATCTTCCATTGAACAACAATTATTTGATCTTACCTCTCTTGTTAGACAATTGGCTGTAGGGAATGCGCAACAAGTAAAAGCTTGTGGGATATGTTCAACAATGGGACACCAAATGGACATGTGCCCAACACTTCAAGAGGAAGGGACTGAACAAGTCAACACAGTAGAAAACTTTTCTGGACCACCGAGGCAACATGATCCTTACTCCAACACGTACAATCTAGGTTGGAGAGATCATCCGAATTTCAGTTATGGAGGAAATAGACAAGTAGGAGGTGGACAGAATTTCTTCCAAAATAGACAACAACAGCAACAAGGTTTTCAACCGAAGCAACCTGCATCACAGAGTTCAAACTCATCCCTGGAAGATATAGTTAAGTCCCTTGCTTTGAATACCAAACAGTTTCAACAAGATACAAGATCTAGTATTCAAAGTCTGGAGAATCAGATGGGTCAAATGGCAACTGCTATAAGTCGTTTAGAGGCTCAAGTTGGAGGAAAGTTGCCTTCTCAAATAGTGGTGAATCCAAAGGAGAATGTGAATGCAGTGACGCTAAGAAGTGGCAAGAAAGTGGAAGAACCAAAGCTGAACATTCCAAGTGTAGAAAAGGAGGCAGAGATTAAAGATGAAATTGAGAAAGAAAAGGCTACAACTAAATCAAAGGTAATTCCTAACCCTTCAATTCAACTTCAGTCTAATACTTTGCCTTTTCCTAGCAGATTTGCGAAGTCAAAGAAAGAAGAGAAGGATAAAGAAATTTTGGAGATGTTTCGCAAGGTGGAAGTGAATATACCTCTATTGGATGCAATTAAACAAGTGCCAAGGTATGCAAAATTTCTTAAGGAGCTATGCACCAATAAGTGGAAGTTGAACGGTGATGAGAAGATAATAATGGGAGAAAATGTGTCAGCAGTTTTCCAAAGAAAACTTCCTCCCAAATGCAAGGATCCAGGTATGTTTACAATTCCGTGTAAGATAGGTAACACCAGAATTGAGAGAGCTATGGTAGATTTAGGAGCTTCGATTAATGTTATGCCAAGATCTATTTATGTTTCATTAAATCTAGGTCCTGTGAAAGATACTGGTGTTATTATCCAATTGGCTGATCGCACTAATGCATACCCTGAAGGGGTAGTTGAAGATGTTCTTGTGCAGGTCAATGAGTTAGTGTTTCCAACGGATTTTTACATTCTGGATATGGATGATTCTTCGTCTCCTGACCCTGCACCTATCTTATTGGGAAGACCATTCCTAAATACAGCTCGGACAAAAATAGATGTTCATGATGGTACCCTCACAATGGAATTTAATGGTGAAGTAATTCGTTTTAATATTTATGATGTCATGGAGTCGGGCTAACGACTTTAACCAAAGGCGCTGCTTGGGAGGCAACCCAAGAATTCAGATTTGATTTTCTTTTCCCTTGACTTTAGTTTTTTTTTAGTTTTCCCATATTTTTTTTTTCTTTTTGTTTTATTTGCCTGTCTCTACATTTGGGTTTTACATTGGGGACAATGTAAGTTTTAAGTGTGGGGGAGAAGTTAGGCTTTAGGTGTTTGTTTATGTTAAGAAAAAAAAAAAAAAAAGAGTTTTTGTTTTTACGAAGGTTTATGCTTTAAGTCATGTCTTTGAATGTCTAGTGATGCATGAAATAATAACTTGACTTTGTGTTGAGCATATTCCTTGACTTAGGATGTTAGCAATATTTCATAAAATAGAGTTAATCATATTTGAATCTTTGTAGTTTTGAAACAATATGTCTTGAGAAGTTGGGTGAACTTGGTGACGAAGCATGATTGAGGAGTGTATAACAACCCTTAAAAGAAAGAAAAAAATTGTTTCTCTTAAGCTAGTCCTAAATTTGGGTTTAAGCAAATAGGAAAAAGAAAAGAAAGGTATGTGGTGAGTCGAGATGGAGCGTAAAACGCACTCACTCATAAACACAACCATGAAATGAGATGGAGCATAAAATGCACTCAATTGTTTAAAAAAAAAAAAAAAATTTAGTTTGCTACCCAGTTTGTAGTTGTAAAGAGAAACAATTGAGAAAAAAATTAAGAGGTGAGTTGTACATGAATTGGTTGTGATTAGTTTCCTTGTTTGCATTGATTGAGAGTAATTGTGGAAAATGATGAAGAGATACGAATGTCATTAACTCTACTTTACTTTATCTTTGTTGCTTCCTAAGTTAGGTATGAATATGCATGGATTAAATAATGTTGCTTATGCATCATGATGGTGTTCTGGATATGACTTGAGTGTTTGAATTAGTTTGCCCGAGGACGTGCAAAAGCTAAGTGTGGGGGAATTTGATAAGAGTGTAATTGATATATTTTTATTCCTTCCATATTATGTTTTTTGTTATGTTTTATGCCTATTTGAATTGATTAGAGTTTATTTTGTGAGTTTGGCATAGTTGGATAGACTTTAGGAAGTAAGTGATAAAAGATTAGGAAATTCCAGATTTTCCAGATTTTTCGTTATTCTGACCAGTGCTGCGTTTTCCAGGTTTTTCATGGAGATAGATTCCTCAATTGCAAAAGTGGTCTTCAGAGAAATTAAAGTAGACAAATCAAGCTTTTCAGGAAGGTATTATTAGTGAGAATCCGAGTTCGTTTGGGTTTTCAGTTGTTGTTGCAAAACCGGACCTGGAATCCTAGTCGCAGAAGGATTCCTTAGCTGAGCATCGAATCTTCAAATGGGCCTAACTGGAGCGTCGGATATCGAAAGCGGGTGATTCAAAAGCCCAAATTCATCTACACATCCTAGACTACAATTTTTATGAAGTGATGGAGCCCAGAAAAGATCTTTTACATTGCGAGAATCCTGGTGCAAGCTGGAGACGAATTCTGGAATCCATATCTGATCAGATTTTATCAAATCTGGAAGTCTATCTTCTAGGAAACGTCTAGGAAAGAAATTCCGTGATTCTTGGGGAAGAATTAAGGAAAACACATGTTATTTAATCAGAAGTTTTTAGGTTAAACGGGGGGAGGACAGTAGAGTTTTAATTTTGGAGAGTTTTTGCGTTCTAGATCAAGATGTGCGGCTAATTTCCTTCTTCAGTTCAAGGGGATTTTGAAGCCTAATTTCATGTCATTGGTGTAACCTGACTCTAGTAACATTGTTCTTAATCTCGTTTTTATTGGAATTGTTTATGTTATTCTGTTTTAATTGTTTGTGATTCTTGTTTGAGTGATTTAGTTTTGGCCTGCTAAATTGTTTAATCAGAATTTACCTGTTAGAATTAGGAATTGTGATCCGTAATTGTCCTTTTTCTATTCAACGAGTGACACATGATGATAGCTGATTATGGACAAGTTTTCGGTCTATTGTCTTGAATAACATAACCTAAGTTAAATAATCCGAGCTTGCGTGATTGTTGCTTAGATTGATCTATTCTCCTAATTCTTAAGGCTGCCATTGAATTAAATTTAGAGAGCTTGTTCTAGGTTGTTCAAGGGTTAGTATCTACTCGAAGAGCTTGTTTCAGTAGTGACAAACTAAGGGAGAATTCGGGTAACAGAGCTTGTTGTTTCCTAGGGTCAGTAGTTTCATAATGATGAGATAGAACAGTGTTACGGTTACTTTATGTCCAATGCATGTTTAGGTGGATTTTGAACCGAGAGCTGATTGTTTAACCTGATATTTTATTTCTCTGTTTTACTTTTGTTTGCCTTGATTACAAACCCCCTTTCATTGCTGTTGTCAGGTTTTCTATTTAGAATTTAATTTGCGTTTCTGTTGTTTTTATTGTTTTAGAATATAGAAATTAATCGAGTCATTCCCTGTGGGATCGACCCTTGCTTGCCCTTTATACAATTCAGTAGTTAGGTCAATAAGGTTAATTAATTTGGTGCATTCGGCACGCTACCAGCAGTCTACTCCGTCGTAGTCCCTGCACAAAAGTGCAAATATGAGAATCACATCCTGTGTCAATCACCCAATATGTAATAGGAGATACATTGATTTCAATCATGTACACACCTTTAGACGAAGATGCAAGCTTCTTCTTGCTTGCTTACTTGCTTGCTAGCTAGGAAGGGCTTGCAATGTTTCTTCCAATGACCAGGCTTGCCACAATGGAAGCAAACAACCTTTCCATCTTTGGTCACACCTCCAGCAAGTTTAAGGACATCTTGGGGTTGAGCTTTGGATTTGCCCTTGGCATTTCCTTTGCCTCACTTCCCATTTCCTTTCCATGGTGTAGTGTTAACTAGCATCACTGACTTGGACTTCTTCATGTCTTTCTTTGCTATCTTCAGCATATTCAAGACCTCTGAGAGAGACTTCTCCATAGAATTCAAATTGAAGTTCATTATGAATTGGGAGAAGGAATCAGGAAAGGATTGCATAACAAGATGTATTGATAGTTCTGCCTCCATACCAAATTCCAGTATTTCAAGCTTATGTATGAAGCTAATCATATTGACTACGTGCGAGCCTATTGGGGTTCCCTTAGTCATTCGGCATCTATATAATGCCTTTGAGATGTGTGATGATGGAGCCAGCATCCAAATTCTCATGTTGCTCTTGCAGATCAGGTGTCAACGATGCAAGTACAATACATTGTACAATATCAGCATTGTCCAGATACTTTCTATAAGCATCTATAGCATCTTGAGTAGCTTCAAGTTTAGGCGCTTCCATAACAGGTTCATCCAAGATGTACAATGTCACGACCGGGGGCTATCCTCTATCATGCCACCTTCGGGCTTAAGGACTTTCCCCACGCGTCAGACATGTCTAAGGCATTGTCTGCTTTGGGTCTTTCTAGCCATGCCTCCTTCGGACCCTCACAACTTTGCTTCACTTCGTGGTCTTTTTTCCACCTTGCGAACGCCTCCCCTATGACTTGAACCTTGGATTTATACTTTGGCCAAGTAACATGAGTACCATTGTGCTAATAGATATCCTTTAGAGTTACTGAATCAATTTTTCTATGATATACTGACACAGGCTTGTCAAGCCCTGGTTGATAATGCTGCAGTGGTGCTATGGGAGAGAAGACTACACAAGGGACGAATAAGTTATATGAGATGCTTGGAGCCAACTCACAGTAGAAAAATGTTAGAGGAAAATCAAGAGGGATGTATGAAGTAAATACTAACACTAAGTTGGCGATGCATGTTTTAGAGTTAGCCAAACAGATGAAAACTATGTGGAATATGTGTTAGGAATCAATCTACCTAACGCAGTGGAAAAACAAAGATTAAAAGATTAATAGATTCCTTTAAAGCCCAAAATCAGTGTACAGATTATATAGTTAACACGTTAAATCAAAATTCTATAGAAAATATAAACAATCCATTCAAGGATTAGAGATCTTACGCACGTTTGGAGGCTCTTTCAAATGTCTCTAAATCTACTTCGCTACCAATTCAACGTAGAACCGAACGAATGGTGATCCACATGAAGAAAATCCGAAGAACCAAAGAGGGATTTGCTAGATCCTCTATTAGCTTAAAGAATAAACTTGAATCAAAGAAAAACTTTGATTCAAGAGCAAGGCAAATGTGGCAGAAGGGAGAGAGGGCTGCCTCCTTTCCAATGAATGAGTTTTAATAATCAATTCTCTCATTTCCTTCAATACACATGCACTTATATAGTGCATGTGTCAAAACCCTATTCCATCAAGGAATAGGATTAGGCTCCAACCCAAATTAATCCATGTGTCTAAACACTTTCCTTTTGGTATTTTATTTTAAATAATTATTATAATTAAAATCAATTAATACATTTATAAAATGTATTAACATTTAATTAATAATAATTTATTTAAACATATGCGTACATATATTTAAATATAATCTCACTGATTTGAGTTAACATTAAATCTAGGCAACAACCTCAGCAAATCTAATTGCACTGTGAGATTACCAAGATACCCTTTCACCCTAAAAGATGAAAATACCCCTTGCACAAACTAATTCTTAAATTATCTTCTATGTGTGTGACTCGTAAGCTCCTCATCATACTCGCAGTGAATAGTATCGTGATTAACATCAATTCAAGATTGGCCCCAGCAAGGCATCACAGCGACCCAATAGATTCAGATTCAACAAAATAGTTACCTGTCAACGATATGGTTATTGTGCAATCAAGTCTTTTCATCATCTGTTATCTCATCTAGACTGAGGTATAGAAATAGTGTCAACCTCATGTACTCTCGATATGTCTATATTCAGTTACTGGACCAATGACCGGAATAATAAATTAGATTGAGCAACAACTCAATCCCACTGTGGCCACAACTTTAGTATCAGTGCCATTTACTGAATTGCGCAGTGAGATAACTTCTCTCGTACCTGGGAGTGATGAATCCTCTGTCGATCCACCATAGTCTCTATACACTCTTC